AGATTTTTTATTCAATTCAATGTACTAGAAATCCCTACATCGTGCTACTGCACCAAAATTACCCAACTGTAAAATTAAAAGAAAACACTGAGTGAGCAAAAATTTGTGAGATAGCTAGTTATAATGGTAATTAAATAATGTTTACATATGTATAAATGATTAACCTTAAGGTGCGAAAATTATAAAATATAATAACCACAAGACTAATTTATTAAATTATTATTATTATTATTATTATTATTATTATTATTATTAATCATTTTATAATTGTAATTAATTATTAAAATAATAAACAACTTTTTTTCAGATCAGCTAAACAGACAACCCCTCTAACTAATTGAACAATTTAACCAATTCATCCCAGCAGTCAAACCTCAAGAAGTCCCCACTCCCACTCTGATGCATTAGTGTGAATGGGATGGTGGAGCCTGACAGGCCGCCATTGCCAAACCCTCATTAAACTACTGATTCCCTGATGTCTGCATGCACTTCCATCACATCCTACATTACATAATATCTGACTCCAGTCCCTATTTTCACTCATCTGCTGATCCTGGACTAGACCCTCTGACCATAGGACTCACTGAGCACCGCTTCACTATGAACAGCAGTCACTTATCTCAAGTCAGTGTGATAATTTACACCAAAAGCATTTGATATTAATGAATGCTATTAATGGAAAGTCAAAAACTGTTGATTAGGTATCATGAACAATGAACAACATTTTACAGCATTTTTAAATCTTGATAAAATGAATGCTATCACATTTAACCTTAGTGTTAAAGTTTGCATGTTTTTTGTTCCATAAAAAGTTTCATAATAAGTTGAGTCGAAATGAGGACCATGACGAACTTAAAACAGAATTTCACAGTTTCACAGATATTTCTGTATATTTGGGCCAACTACCAATGTGCGTTCAATCTTTGCTCTGTCTCACAGTACACCTGAATGAGTGAAAAATCTGAATCTCACTTCTCAACACTACCTGTATTCAGTGTGACTGCACAAGAATCAGCATGACATCTCATGTTCATTATCTTATGAACAAAGTTTTTCTCATTTCTTTTTACTTGCAAAAAGAAAAATGTATCCCTCTCTCTCGGTTTCTTATCTTTACTGTTCTCGTCATCCCCAGGAGCAAAGCACGTGCTAATTATCCATCTACTTGTTTTCCCTCGCAGAGCCCTCTTTCACTCTTTCTACGTGATATGTTCCCATTCAAACCAGCAACCTTCCACCCACGTCCCCCTTCCTGCATCACACTCTCTCTCCCTCTCTCTAGTTCTCTTTCTTCGGGCCAATGCGCACACAGAACCCCTCTGCCCCGGGACCTGTCCTCCAGCCCATCCTAAATGGGCCCTCTGTTCTCTTCGTTCTCAACTCCTCCCCCCTCTTCTCGGGTCCCAACCTTTATAAGGCTCTTATCTGATTGCAAACGCTCCTACACCACCCCTCTCTCATTACCGCTCTGACATGTAAAGGGTTTTATACCATCCTTCATAAAGTTAAACAAGTTTATGCAAGCTATCACAGGTTTTGAGTGTTTTCAGACTTTGAATAGTGTGAATCTACTCCAGATAACTAATGGGTGTTTATGAACTTGTCAATCAGTGCATTGTTGGTTTGGAAACAGGCCCGAGTGTGTCTCTCTCTCATAGTAAGGGAAACATAGGCATTATTGTGAGTTTATGTTTGCAATTGAGTCTTGGGGCTTAGCCATTGAATCCACAGCAAACAGTCTGAAAAGAGTCGAGAGCCAAGGTTCAGCCCCTGTTGGTTTTTTAACAAAGTGAGTGATTTGGAGGCATTTCAAGGGGAGGAAATGTTCAAATGTGAGGGGATGTCTGAGTTGGTGCTCAACCTCATCTATGTTTTGTTTTGACCCATTTTTAGATAGTGCGAGTGTGCACGAAAGAGAGAGAGAAATTACTAAAACTCCTATGCGTGCCAGAGAGGATGTTTATCAACCCCATCTCCAGTAGGGCGCCTCACACAAATGCTGTATACACAGCATGTAATTGTATTGCTAAAGTGCACGCACACATACATTCTCGTCTTGCCAGACCACACCTGTTCAAGGGCCCTTATCTGATAGATAACAAACACTCGAGTTTTTAATATTCTATATCTCACACAAGTTTCAACATGTTTGTCTAGATTTAGATTTACACAGAATTCAGTCAAGTCACAAAACTGGATGGGGTTAACAGGGTTTTTTGTATCTGTGTCTTGTTCCAACAACTACATGTTTATTCTTTTAGGCTCGCCTGTTAAAAAAGGCCTATATTGTAGGATATACAAGCTCGTCTGGTCAGACAATCATCATGCACTTCACAGAAACTAAACAGCTGAAGAAGAAGAATGGAATGCTGGGAAAAACAAAATGCAAGGTCATTGTCTTGTTTGTACCTTCTTTGAAAAGAATTGTAACTCTTTTCCGGAACAAAATGTGTCATATTTCTGCACATTACTCTCCTAAAACAAGCTGTGGTCTCTCAGGTAAAGTTTCATAATTAACACTGTTGTTGTGCTGATCTCTTTGGCAAAAAAATAAATAAATGAACAACCTACAAAAGTTAACATCTTCTCAGCTCCAGACTGAATCTGCTGGATATACAAGAACATCTACAGTGAATATGCTTTCCACTTCCGAATATGTAAAATTAACACACTGGGATCATCTCTGTAATGGCTTTGTCAATCATGTTCTTTATGGTTTAATTAAAAGCACTTTTTAAATAATAAATGTAATCAATATAGGATTTGACTGTTAACATCAGATGAAATTGTCATAGGATTTATGAAAAAATATTAAAAAGTTAAATTACTGGTATAGTTGTAGATTACAGAGTGGACAAAGTAAATTGGCTGATTTTGTCCATGTGGCCAAAATAACATTCAGGATATAACCCATGAAACGTAAAGGGATAGTTCATCCAAAAATTAAAATTCTGTTATCATTTACTCACCCTCATGCCTCGTTCCAAACCTGTATGACTTTCTTTTTTCGTCAATGGTAAACAAAACTATTTGGTTACCAGCATTCTTCAAAATATCTTTCTTTGTGTTCTAAAGAAGAAAGTAAGTCTTGGGCTTGGAACGACATGAGGGGAGTATTCATATGTAAGTGAACCATTCCTTTTAAGACTCACTCAAGCAACTCTTGAAATAACGTAACTGTATAATACATCATAATAATATAAGATTGTCAATTTTACTTTATTCCATCAAAAATCATCCTCCGATTCTTGGTAAACCCCTGAGTTTTCTGCATGGCTTCTGCTTGCTACCTTATCCCGTCATTTTGATACATAGCTCTTTGAAGCAATATAACGGCAAGGTGTAAGTTATGCACCCCGTGATTTGGCACGTCAAGAAATAACAGCATAGTGCAAATTTGTGTCTCTAAATTAAGTAAGGGATCACGCAAGAGTGAAAAAGTGCCAGATTGGTTGGAGCCAACCCAATCTCATGATGACATAGCTATTTTATGAGGTGGCGACTAATATGTACAATTTGATTTGTATAAAAACACAATTTTTACAAAAATAAATAAATAAAAAGTTGGCATGAAGGTCCATGCCTAAACCTAACCATCAGCGGGGCATATTGTAACCATCAGCATACTGCATGAATTCATGCAAATCAGCCATCAATTAGTCAACCTAAAATAGTTATGAATTGTAAATGGAGTGTTTTGTTGGAGCACAATGTTTTTTTTTTTTTGCTCTAGAATCACTCTGAGTGGGGTTTCTCTCATCAGTGGGAAGGAAATGGAAAACCTGGAGTGGATTTTAAACAGAGTGATTACAGAATACTTGGAGAAAGAAGGGGAATTTCTGTTGCTTCACTCACAACCTGTTTCTGTCCATTTGTTGCTTAGCAACTGACAAAGCATTCAAAAATGTACAGAATAATTATATGAAAAGCTATAACCTACTGGCCAAATTTTTTACTCTATATTCTCTACAAACTCTGTTTAGAACTCCTGATTAAAAGTACTAATCGCACTTGTAGTCGTGTTGTGATATTAAATATGAACATGACTTTGATTAATTGCAGCCTCATGTTAATATTCAGTATGAAAGCACTGCTGCTTTTGAATGATATAATCATGTACTCAGAAGCAGAACTACTTGAATGATAATTCTAGTATGATGTCAAGCAAACAAACATATTCAAACACCAAAGCGCCCACCCAGGAGGATATATCTGATTCACTATGTCATAAAATATTGAGAACATGCACCTTCATCATGGGGAATTGGGAACGGGATAGAAATGCAGTCATATCTCAATTTTCTTTTCCTTGACGACATCCCATGTTGTTGTCTGGACCAAAAAAAGGTGTCGCACCTCTGCTGTAATAACCACAAGGAGTCAACCTGACAGCCTCAATACTGTATTACTGCACATCTACTCATTAAACTTAAAGAAAAGCTCTAAGAATAGACATAAGCAAACACGTTTCAACGTTTTCTCGAATACCTGCTAAGGCGAATCACAAAAGCGCACAGCGCAGTCACAGCTGTCAGGAGGTATCAGGTGTTTACATGAAGCAAAACTCAATAACTAGATGCGCCACACATCTGATTCAAGGGGTCCCGAACGGGGATACTTAGGTGAGCATGTTGAGTGTTTTACTCCTCTTTTATCCCCACACATCCAACACGTCATCTCAGAGCGACAATATTACTTTTCAACCGTAGTGTTACCTTGCCGTCTCCGTTTTCTCCATCCTGAGTGTCGCTGAGCTCCGCGCTGATGTCCTCTGGCGCTTCTTCAGGGCTCTTCGCGTCCCGCTGCACGGATGGTGTCGCTCCCATGATGAATAACGTCGCTGTTTCTCCACTCTTAGTCAAATAACGAGTTCAAAAGGAAGTAGGTATCCAGCAGCTCGTGTAAATGCGCCCTGCAGTCCGTCCCGAGGGTTGTCTGCTTTGGAAATTGTTGAAACGGGTCTGTAGGTTCACTTTTAGGAGCCCTCCTCCCATCAGTATCACATGGAGGGCAGTCAGACACGCCTTACAGCATCAAACCAGAGAGAGACCTGAGAGTGCAACACGATCAGCCTGCACAATTACACATTTAATATGGCCAACAACCTCTAAGATGATAGTATAAGTTCTAGAAGATTTAGACGGACAAAATGCAGTTTTGAGGCATGAACTTAGGCTACAGTAGATATCTGTTTAGTTTATAAGTTGATGTAATTTTTTAATAATTAAAAATAAAATGAGGTATTGATGGGATGTGGTATATTTATCTAATAAAAATAACTAATTTGTGAGCTCGTGCACAAAATTGAAAACATTATTGTTTTCTATTAGTGTTACAACTTAGTTACAGTAACAAAATGTCTTACAACACTCCCGTTTCCCCTATAAAACATTTCTGAGAACAAAATTGCTCATAATAAACTACACTTGCTTTTCATTTAAACAGCTCATGAAATTGAAATTTCATAGAATATTAAGATTTTTATTACAGCACCTGCCTCCCTTAGTAAAATTAAAAGTATGCAGAAGAACCATTAATTTTACAATGGCATGCAGCTGCAGTAATAAAAATATTAAAGCTCAAGCTTCAGCCCTGGTTTTATTTACAGACAGTGGGAATGTCAACATTGGGTGCAGGATGGGCCTCCACAGAAAAACAGCCCAATGGAACATGTCCCGCAGGAAATCTCAAATTAAGAGAGCACTGTAGTTTGCGTCCACATGCATGCATCTAAACCAACCATATAGTGAGGTCCCCCTCTCTCTCTCTCTCTGTTAATTGCATGTTTGGCTGTGTTCCAAGGCATTTTATTTAGAACCTTTGAATGCGTAAATTACAGGCCACTTGCGAATCACAACAAAGTTTGCACAAGCCACCTTGTATGGTGGCACGATACACTGGCTCTGTGTTTAGCAAAGCAAACAACACCTAGTGTAAGGGTTAAGATTAAAATTCATAATACATTCAGTTTTCTTAAGCAGTTTATGAGGGATCAGGTTTGGGTAATTTGGTTTTATGTTTAAGTTATGCAAAGACCATTCCTGTAGATGCCTTTTTGCTGTGCTGGGCGAAAGTTTGGGCATTGTTATAGGATAACTTGCACTATAATAAAAGAAGAGGGGAAAACATTTAAAGAATGAACTGAAGACATGTTTGCATTTCAGAAATACCCAGACCATATTTAGAGGCAGTAGTTTGTGGTGGTAAGAGAAGTGGTATGTTTTGAGCACATTGTTAAATCCATAATTTAAAAAGGCATAAACAAAAAAGCTCAAGTCATGATGACTTGGATCGAGAGTGTAAGGGATTGGCTTCATAACCTTTTTTTTTGTTTGTCCTAAAAATTTTTTTTTCTCTTATTACTTAAGAGCAGTGATTTACTTATATCAAACATTGTGTAGGTGTGGGTTTGATCCAGGTTCTTCAGACTGTATCATAATGTTTTCACATTGTAATTCAATTAAATAATATAGATTTTGCCCAGTGTGACCCCTCGCACATGCACACCCGTGTTCAAGTGATTCAAAATCATAATTTTGATGTTCAGTTACCTTTAGGGATCACTTGGTGCAGAATGAGGCCCAATGACAAATAAGCTGAAATCCAAAGTAAAGCAATTACAGTTATTAGTAAATAATGACATTTTTTTCTTTTAGCTGATGCTAAATGAGGCAAATAAAAAAAGAATCCAAATAATTGGTGCCATAATTCCAAGGACTTTGTCTAAATGTTACAAAAGAACAGCCTTAAGATATAATTGAATCAGCATCTCTGTGACCCAGACAACAGCGTAACCTAATTGAAACATAATGACTGATTTGAGATTCTTGACATAGACATGAACGTTATGAAATGCCTTTCAAAGAACTGACTATAAAGACTCAGTACAGCTAATTTAGTTGCCTGTATTTGTTAAGCTAACAGGCTGATGCTGTAAAAACCACACTGATACACAGAATTCAAAATTTTAAATATTTCCATTTCAATTCAAATGCTGCTCTTTTTAACTTTCTATTAATCAGAGAATCCTTAAAAAATGTATTGCGTTTTCCACAATATTTAGCAGCACAACTGTTTATCAACATTGATAAGACATTTTTAATCAGCATATTTGATCATGTGACACTGAAGACTGGATTAATGGCTGCTGAAAATTCAGTTTTGCCATCACATGAATAAACAACATTTTAAAATACTGGAATAAAGTTATTTAAAGAAGTAATATTTAACATGATTCTTTTTTATATATAAATTAAATGCAGCATTGGTGAGTATAAGAAACATTCAAAAACATTACAAAATCTTACCAACCCCAATCTTTTGAATTATAGTGTATTAGGTGAAATGCATTAAATAAGCAGTAACAGCTCTATATGTTCACCTGACATGGTGACCTCAATAAAATCCCAACAAAAGGCCAAGAGGGCAGCAGTCACTATAGCAGCAACAGAAACCCATGCACTAAATAATAAAATAATTACTTTCCCCTTTTCCCCTCTTTTAAAGCATGCAATCTATTTGTTTTAACATGGAGAAAACAATAACACTCTAGACTACTGGCCATTCATTTTGGGTACCCCAAAAAAAACTCCATAAGGCAAGAGATTAGAAGTACAAGAGACTGAAAGGGGTATGAATGAGTACTGCTGCCCTCACAGGGTGTCTTCTTGAGTGGACTGCGCCCTGTAGAGGCAAAATAATGTAAAGACCCTGTGGGAGCCATTTGTCTGCTACTGTTCGATACATCACAGCTCTTTATCCTAATAAAAGACCAAAAAATCTAATCTAGAGAAATTTCATCTGTGTGGACCAACAGTCTGACTTCACTATAAAGATTAGGGATTCATTAACTCACTCATACATGTGAACACATCACTTATGCATTATCTCACACTCATTCACACACAAAACGTGTTTGGTAAAAGTGACACATTAATAAACAAAAATAAAATGAATGAATGAAAATGTTCACTATCCAGTTCAATGTTCAGTATTTGTACTGAAATACAATTTTATTTTTGATTTATTTTTGTCTGGCCAGTCATCTTGTTCTCCGACTGCCTTTTTAACTGTAGAATCATCATCACTGGAAAAATACAGGTTTTCAAGCATACATAACTGTTGCAACAGTCAATGGAATTCTTCTTTACTCACGTCCCACACAGTAGTTTAAGATTCAGAATAACAGATAACTGTGGAATGTCTAAAACAAGATTTTCTGGCATGTACCCACATGCATGATGAAAAGGTGCATACACAGGTAGTGAGATCCATGCAACACTTGTACATTTGTATCAGAGAGAGAGAGAGAGAGAGAAACAGGTGTCAAACCACTAGCACCACTTGTAATTTTGTTTTGTGTAGTATCTAAATAAAAGCACCTCAGCCTTAAGATTTATGGCATATTTGGCTGTAACACTTAAACCGTTAAACAAGATTTAATGTTACTAAAGGAGAATGGTAGCAGTACTCAAATAAAAAGAAATGAAATGGAGTTTGCCTGAATACTGTTATCATATTCCATAGGTAATCTGAAACATTTAAGACGGAAATATTAAAGCATTAATGGAATTTTTAGCTATACAGAATGCGTTTAAAAGCTTTTGTGCATCATTAAGTTGTAAACACTAAAACACTATGTAAACAGAAGGGTTTACAGAAAGACAAACCAAAGGAGGAGGAATGTTTGTTGATCTAACACTCAGTAGTTTCATTGCTAGAAGGCAGTGGGTGAGCTGTAACCAGTGGCATATGAATAGAGGCCTACACAGACACTGAGGAACACCTGAAAATGGAGGAAAGCATGAAAGAGGAGAAAGAAAGTGAAGGAGAAAGTTTTACATACATTCAATCAAATCTGATCTTTTTGTTGTGTGGCATGAACAAAGCACAAAAACAAAAAGTCATTGTTCTGACACTGTTAATTGTGTTCTTACTGGTCAAAAGCATGTATGGGACTGCAGAAATGTCCTCAGAAGAGTCCTTTTATCTCCTCCGTCACAGGATCAAGGTCAATGTCGTAGAAGCAGGGTCGAGTAGGCAAGCCTGGCATGGTGCTCATCTGAAAGAAATGTACAATTCAGCGTACAAGAAAAAGAAACTATGATAGCCAATAAATATTTTTTATGTGCAAACAAAACATCACAGCACACAGTAATTGAGTCAGAAATTGAACTGAAGGTTTGTTGAATTAAGTTTAGTTACTTAAAGGACTATAACTGATACGTAGTTTGTTTTCATTCATAAACGAGTCTTTAAATTAGCCTATGTCCTTTAGATTCACTTAGCTTCAATATCATATATTCAGTCTTAAAGAAGAGCTGGTTTTAAAGATGTTGCTAAATCCTTGCTAAACATCTATTCTATGCAAATCTTGTTACCTTCAAATGACTTCCGTGGCATATAAATCTCAATTACAAACAGAGGCTAATGCTGGAGCCACTAAAACTAGATTTTATCACCTAATGAATGCAGTTTTTTAAAGAGACAAATTGTGGTCTTTAGTAGCCCCCAATTTTGTCATCATTTTCAAACTGTTGCGTCTATTACTATAGTGATAAAACATGAAGATGCCTAAATATTTTCATGTTTTAGAATATGAATTTAACATGGAAATGTTAACAGGTTAATGTATATAAGCAATTAATATTCACTCAGTTTTAAAAAGTTTGCAGATTTAGGACTGATTTATTGATTGAGGAAAACTTAAAGGTCATCATTTTAATTCCCTAACAACAAAATCTATAGCCAGTGGTCAAACCAACTGATTATATAAAAGAAAAATAAACAACCTTAAAAATACCACAGATTAAAATCAAGTGACTGGCATACATGTAAGACCCAGGCAAAAGAAACAAATTATCTTAATTAAATTATAATTTAACAAAAAAAAAAAAAAACAGACCAAGACAGAAAAAGAGAGAGCAAAAAGTACATCGTTTATCCAGGAATTTCACCTTGCCCAGAGAATGAAAACTTTATAGAGACTTCCATTCCCCATCATTTCTTAGAACAAAGCCTCATCACAGCAAGCAGAGTTTTAAATATTTTAAAGAAAGAGTCCTCTTATGCATGACAACCCAGGAGCTGTTTAATGGCTTATTAGAATAAATTAACTTCCTAGTAGAAAGATAAGGTGAATCAATTGACTAATGCGAGTAAAATCTGACCAGTTTTTAAAATTGTACATATTTTTTTTATAATAAAAAAAGAAAAAGTTCTAAAAGAAAAATAAGTTGGCAAACTGACAAAAGGTATAGTCCAGAACATGACATCACCATGTGGCTCAACTAATAGGTCCATATGACCCAAAGAATCTAAAACAGACCAGGTTTGGGACTTAAGTCCAAATGACTCAATTTTGGGCATATTCAGCAGCTGTACAAATTTCTTACCAATAAATTGCACTTTCTTCCAATTTGCTTAAGTACCCTTATGGCACAGGGTCGAAATTACATTGCAGTTTCAATGCAATATGCCAAACTGTTGTTAAAAGCATGAGAGACTGAACCCAGATTGGTCAGGTTGAAGCTCTGACCCTCCCCTATCTCGGAGACAGATTTCACAACCTTTCTTCAGAACAAGACAAATTCAGAAGATTATGGCAACAATACAGGGGGTGTCAATGCACCTATGGTGCTTGACCCCTAAAGAGTAAACCTAATGCAACACCGTCTCAGCAAATTCACTTAAAAGGTCGTCCGCTTGGCTGTGTAGTGTTGAGATGTCTTCTGTACTACAAAAAAAAAAAACATACAAGGGATTCAGTTATGGATACAAATCTACACTCATAAAGTGAACCTTCAGCAGTTTTTTTCCTTCGGTTAAAGAGTTCACTTTGTGCCGTCATATGAGCATTGCCACGCAAATAAACTGAAAATCCAGTTGCTATTCTAAATTAAGACAAGAAATTCCCACAATTATTTCCATACACAATACTCCATTATGTAGTCAATGTTCAAGAACAAATGGCAACTTAATTCATTTGAACACTCGGTTCAAATGGGCCATGTTTTCCTTACCGCAGACCATTGTGTCCGTTTATACCAGGGCTGTCCAAACTCGGTCCTGGAGGGCCGGTGTCCTGCAGAGTTTAGCCGTTCTACTGAACATGCTCTTTGCACCAGTCTGCTATTGACATGCGTTCATGTCAGCGTGGTGGTCAGGTTGCCAAAACACCACAAGCCTTCCAGCAGTATCATCAGGAATCCATTGTGCGGCTTACAGCAGACACAGATTTGGGCAATACATTTCCTGAGCTGAATGGAAGCCAAGATCCACTGAGTCCCATTGTTCTCTGGCTGACCCCTCCCTCACATATCTGGTGCATGACATCAGTTACTTCCTCCTGTGACCCCCCATGACTGCTTTTGTCCCTCGGGTCTACCTTTGAAAGTAACAGGCATAATAACACACACCTGTCTTGTAGCCTGAGCCGCAGAGTTATGTACAGAAATGACTGGAATAGATACTGACTTGCCTGTATAATGATTACATGCCATTTAAAATGTAAGTTGACTATGACTGAAAGACAGAAAACACGTGTTCATAAAATAATGCAATCTTTTTAGTAACTGTAAAAATTGACTAAAATCACTGTTTTAAACAAGACTGGATAAATGTTTGCTAATAAATTTGAGCTTTTCCATCATATAATAAATTACAAGTAACACTTTAGTATTGGGACCAATTCTCACTATTAACTAGTTGCTTATTAGCATGCCTATTGTTAACATATTGGCTGTTTATTAGTGCTTATAAAGCACATATTCTGCATGACCATATTCTACATCCCAAATCCTACCTAATACCTAAACTTATCAACTACCTTACTAACTATTAATAAGCAGCAAATTAGGAGTTTGAGGCAAAATCGTAGTTAATGGTTTGTTAATAGCGAGAATTGGACCTTAAAATAAAGTGACCAAATTACATTGTACATATTTCACAAATCACAATTACTGTTTTTGTTGTACCTTTGATCAAATAAATGCTAGAGGCTTCTTTAAGAGGCTTCTTTCAAAAACAATTAAAAAAATCTTACCGACATTTGAACAGTAGTTAAAAAATAAAAAAATATCAAAATTATTAATTAATCTCATTCCAGACTTTCTTGCATGGTAAATGATATGTCGCAATGTCTAAACTGCTCTTTTTTTCCTTACATACAACAGGATAATATTTATTTTATTGCTTAACCTTTTTTAAAGGGGCCAAGGAATACATTTTCAGAACTTTATATTTTATTGATATTTTGAAAAAACAAATTGTAATATGTTTTAATTGTAGAGTAACCTTTCCATTTCATAGAATACACAAGTCTTTAGTCTGTGCAAGACATGGACTGCAGTGCAAAATTGTACACCGGACAAAGCTGAAACTATCTAAGCACTTTCAGCATATAGATCCTGCTTGTGACCGCTGTAGATTTATTCCAGCCTCTCATGCACATGTGTTTCGGTCCTGTACAAAACTTAGGGGCTTTTGGTCCACTGTTTTTGAGACCGTCTCTGGTTTAGGTAAATCGATCTCCCCTTGCCCACTGATAGCCATTTTTGGAATTACTCCCATATCATACAATCTTACAAAGATACAATCTGATTGTAAATCTTTTATCATGCTCTTAGCCAAATGACTAATATTGCTGAAGTGGAAGGATCAGAGGCCTCCAACTCCAACACAATGGTTTCGTGATATCCTCTTTCTCCTAAAGTTGGAGAAAATCTAACATTTTATAAGAGGCTCATCTAACCAGTTTAATAAAGCTTGGGGCCCTTTCAAGCAATGACCAAATTACATTGTACATATTTCACAAATCACAATTACTGTTTTTGTTGTACCTTTGATCAAATAAATGCTAGAGGCTTCTTTAAGAGGCTTCTTTCAAAAACAATTAAAAAAATCTTACCGACATTTGAACAGTAGTTAAAAAATAAAAAAATATCAAAATTATTAATTAATCTCATTCCAGACTTTCTTGCATGGTAAATGATATGTCGCAATGTCTAAACTGCTCTTTTTTTCCTTACATACAACAGGATAATATTTATTTTATTGCTTAACCTTTTTTAAAGGGGCCAAGGAATACATTTTCAGAACTTTATATTTTATTGATATTTTGAAAAAACAAATTGTAATATGTTTTAATTGTAGAGTAACCTTTCCATTTCATAGAATACACAAGTCTTTAGTCTGTGCAAGACATGGACTGCAGTGCAAAATTGTACACCGGACAAAGCTGAAACTATCTAAGCACTTTCAGCATATAGATCCTGCTTGTGACCGCTGTAGATTTATTACAGCCTCTCATGCACATGTGTTTCGGTCCTGTACAAAACTTAGGGGCTTTTGGTCCACTGTTTTTGAGACCGTCTCTGGTTTAGGTAAATCGATCTCCCCTTGCCCACTGATAGCCATTTTTGGAATTACTCCCATATCATACAATCTTACAAAGATACAATCTGATTGTAAATCTTTTATCATGCTCTTAGCCAAATGACTAATATTGCTGAAGTGGAAGGATCAGAGGCCTCCAACTCCAACACAATGGTTTCGTGATATCCTCTTTCTCCTAAAGTTGGAGAAAATCTAACATTTTATAAGAGGCTCATCTAACCAGTTTAATAAAGCTTGGGGCCCTTTCAAGCAATATGTCAGGGAACATGTCTCATTGTCGGACGTAGACTGAATCTTAGTTCTATCTTTTTTTTTTTTCTTTCCTCAGATAAATTATATTGTATCATGATGATTGTGCATTTTCACTGTTTTCCTAAGCCACACTTTTTTTTATTTATTATTTTATTCTAATTTTATTTATTTTTATTGTTATTGTTATCTATTGTATTAAGTTGATCTTGTCTTTTGTTCTTCTTTGTTTTCTTTGTAATATTGTACTAAAACTTAATAATTTTTTAATATATATATATATATATATATATATTAATTAAAAAAACTTTCCATTTCATGACCTCTTTAATGCAATGGTAACGTCTGTCAGTTTATATGCACCTTAAGATTTAAGCACCGACTCATTAACATCTGATTGTATTACAATTAGGGGTGGCACGATACCATTTTTTCAGAACTGATCCCAATCCGATACCAAAAGTGCTGAGTATCGGACAATACCGATCTGAGCACAGTTTTTTGTGTATTACACACAATCTACTAAATACAGACAACTTCATTATAAAGAAAAACAACAAATTAAAAAATATATAATCAATCTATGAGAAAAATACCATTATAAACTAGGTTAGTGGATAATTCAGCAGCAAAAGTTACTCTACAAAAATTATGAGTTCACAATAATTTTATAAAATCTAAACATTTAGAGAAAAAACATTATTTAGTGGGGGAAAAAATAAAAGTAAATAGGAGTAATCTAATCTGGTAAAATGTTACACATTGCTCTTTGTATTGTAATATAGCCTACATTCAAGAAAAACAAGTAAATATAATTATATATAAATATATGGAATAAATTAAATACATTTCTTTTACATTTATAGCACAGTAATGAGGCAGCAACATATGATAGATAAGACAGAACAAGAAAGGCTATTAATAACAATCTTTCATTGCACAAAAGTATTATAACATGAAAGGCTCAAATACAGAGCGGCACAAATCGCTTATGCGCATCCAGTGTTCCCGTGATCGGTCTCGTCTGACCGATACCCCGATCCAGCAGAAAGTAGCAGTATCGAAGCAATACCTATACTGAATATCGGATCGGAGCACCCCTAATTACAATCAAGCAAGCGAAAGTACTAAACAAGGGTAGATTTGAGGAAAGAAATAAGAAAAATAAAGAAAACCAGAAGAGCAGATAGAGATGAAGAGATTACACTGAAGTTCAAAGCATTGGCAGTAAATTCTGAGACAGGTTGAAGTGAGAGGTCATGAGCGCTGGCCGTATGTCCCGCAGCAGTCCCATGGAGATGAAAGGGGACAGAGCGGTGGTCAGACCGGAGGGGCTGGGTCACAGGCACCCATCTCCCAGCATGCCGCACAACGGACACCTCACCCCAACCCTGACCCCACACTGCAGCCAGGACCTCACTCTCAACCCGGAAATGAGCTTCCTTCCCTAAGCCTCACCCAGCCAACAAAACACACTGGCTCAATCAAACTGCGGAACGAAATCCAGTTGGTCAGGATACTCAAACAAAGCAATATGTTGATAGCACCACACAATATGATCAAATCAAAATAATCACATTTAACCTTTTTTTTTTTTACCTGTCAAACCAACAGATTTTAAACTTTGACATTCATCACCATGCATGTTTATCAATGTTTTTAATTTATAGCTTTAAAATGTACAAACAGAACGGGAGAATAAAGAATCTTTCATATATCTCCTATGCTGGAAGTCTGATTGGAATGGTGGTTCCTAAGGTGAACCAGCTGGGTTTAGGAAGAAAGTAAATCCAGGGACGGAGTATCTTAATGAAAACCAAAAATATGTGCACACACATAGAAAAGCATGGGTCATTCAAAAGTTTAAAAGAAAACACAGATGCTCTAAGCGCCGTTTTCACAGGGCTTAATCGAACTGTCTCACAGGTTTCATCATGAATCCAAACTGAGAATCCAATAGACTTCTCATTAAATGTAAACTACTTTGACCAAACATTTTCAGGAATTCAGACAGAGAGATATATCTGCCTTAGGCCAGGCAATATTGGCTTTTAGAGAGCAAAAACATGAAGGCAGAGGAATTTGGCATTTGAGTGCTGTTTTTAAAAGCCCTAACAAGGTCACAGATCACAGGTTCAACCGTAATCCTGGATCCTATTAGTAACTGAAACATTCACCTACCAACAAAGGAAGTAATAAAAGAAAGTAATATGAAGAGGTAGTGGATGGCATCAAATAGGTGAAAGCCATCAAATATATCAGGAAGGAAAGTGTGGACATGTAGATAGAAAGGAAAAGAATGGAATACGATGAGCTTCCATCAGATTTTGAGGATAATCACTTACAGTTCCAACTAAAGGGTAGATAAACCCTGCCCCGATGCTGGCACGGATGTCTCTGATTGGCAGGATAAAACCGGTGGGAACACCTTTTTTCTCAGGCATATGAGAGAGAGACAGGTGGGTCTTGGCCATGCAGATGGGAAGAGCACCAAAACCCTGAGAGATTTACAGACACAGTTAATATCCACAAGAGACATGCACATCATTTGCTCTGGGCTCTTGACATCCGTTAGCTGTTATGTTGTGAGATGCACTGCTTCACAGAACTGAATCCAAACCCGTTGGGTAGAAGATGGTGAAAACTTAAAAATGGTGAACAAATACAAGCATTAAATTCTTCGACATTGTAAATGTCATTAGAGTTGGCAGATTTCCATGAATCAGTTCAAAATCACCAGTTTCAACGAATCTATTCAAAACTATCTTCTTGTATATACAGATATAGTATTTTTTAATGTTATATTGGTGCATGTAAATTAAAATAAGCAATAAATAATGGATATTAAAAGGTTGAAAATATTGATATAACCTTTAAGATTAAAATAAAAAAAAGCTCAAATATAAAAATTGTACATGAATTGTACATGTTCAGTGGCAATGTACAGCCCTTCTCACCTGTTGATTGTAGTGGTCTATCTTAGCTTGAGCCTCAGGTGAAAGCTCAATATCATCAGCACCATAAACCTTCTGTGCAATAGTCCGAATTTTCTCTACAATAGAATCCTGTAAAAAAAAAAAAACTACAGGGCTTAATTAACAGGTCAAGAGAGTAAAAGATGTATGGAAAAAGAAAAAAAAAAATCATATTCAAGCAATTTAACTTTTTTTAGCAATAAAACTTAGCTTCCGCCTATCTGGTGGTCATAAAATCCCCCCAGCCAGTTCTCTGTGTAGATGCTTGGGATAGCAAGTGTCCAAACCTCTAATAGGATAATAGAGGCTAGCCAGAGCCAAGAGCAGATTACCACACCTTTCATAGCATCACTTAATCAAAGTCACAACCTCTAAACTCACTAAGGTTAACTCAAACCAGCTGATGGCCTTACAGCCTCCCCACCTCCACCTGAAATATACACACTGGGAGCAACACTTAGCTCATTGTACAAGAAACGATCATGTTTAAACCATCCATCAGAGTCACTTTGCTCTATCTTAGTTTGGATTCGGGTTTTACCTAAGCTCAATGTTTGCTTTATTAATGTTTGTAGTATTTTGTTCACAAATAATTGTGCCTGGCCTCACCTGCAGATTGTACAGGAACTGGAAATGGTTCTTCTGAGATGCAACTTTCTTCACAGCATGTGCAAGCTCCACAGAGCCCCGCCCACCTCTGGACCAATGATGACACTGCACAGCAGCTGAAGCCCCAGAAGCCTCTGCGATGCGACACACCATATCGATCTCTGCTTGAGTGTCAGTCCTTCACAGAAAGAGAAATGTCATTGCCCTGTGATATTTGGATTTGCCTTGTCAGAACCAAACACAACACTTTGGCTAAATATGGTCATTAATCAAAAAGTGGGTAAAAATAAACCTTCCAGACATACTGGAAAGACACACTTACAAATAAGCTCAATTTGGACACCATCTGTTGCCTTTTTGATCACACACTCTCTCACACACTCTTGGTACTCTGGTTTACGTCAACCATGGCTATGTTTAAATGGTTTAAAGAGTCATAATTTTCAAACATCATGTTTTGGGAAGAAAATGCATGTTGCAGAATGAGTTTTTCAGATAGACCAATTCTTACTTGAAGACATTCAGAGCAACAACCACAGAAACTCCAAAGAGATGAGCGATCTGAATCTGCTTCTTTAGGTTACTGCAGCCGTCTGCAACCAGCTGCAAATTCTGATAGAAAAACGTAAACATGGATATTTAATTAATTAAAAAGAAAAAAAAATGTCTCTACATTTCAGGCTTGAATCTAATTAAGATTTAATTAATAAGATTTTAAATAAGAACATTTTAGAAAAATTAACAAGACAAAAAGTGGAAAGCAATAAAATCTAATTAAAAAAAAGTTAGATCGGAATGGTTAATCAGGGTCTCCATTAACAAGACGAGTCGGTTTGTCTTGGAGAACGTCATCCCACCAGCTGAGCTTTCCAGAGGAAACTTCCTGCTCTTTTTTCCAACTAAATTGTCTCTCATGGAGCAGAACCAGTCTCAGAATAGCGATCCAAAGCTCAGGAAGAAAAAAAATGTCTCTACATTTCAGGCTTGAATCTAATTAAGATTTAATGAATAAGATTTTAAATAAGAACATTTTAGAAAAATTAACAAGACAAAAAGTGGAAAGCAATAAAATCTAATTAAAAAAAAGTTAGATCGGAATGGTTAATCAGGGTCTCCATTAACAAGACGAGTCGGTTTGTCTTGGAGAACGTCATCCCACCAGCTGAGCTTTCCAGAGGAAACTTCCTGCTCTTTTTTCCAACTAAATTGTCTCTCATGGAGCAGAACCAGTCTCAGAATAGCGATCCAAAGCTCAGGAGACATGCTTTGGTGCTTTCTGTTTCTCATTACAGAACCGCACAATTAGCTTAAGCAGTTGAGTTATTTTCTCAGCTGGGGTTGCTTTAGAGAGACTGATGAAAAGCAGTTACGGTATTTCTTAGACAGCAACTCCCATTACTCCTCTGTGTCTTTAGCTTCAACAACACCGATTGTATTTACCCTGTTAATTGAATAACACAAACCACATTAGGGAGGAAGAGGGGAACTGGAGGGGGTAGAAAAGATGTGTTCTGGGCCTTTGCCGGAGTAAGGTGGGGCAGTGTTCAAAACATCTTGCTCTAAAATTAAATCACTAAATCATAGAGTCTACAAATATGGTCATTTGAAGTAAGACATTGCTTACCTCATTGATATATTCTTTAGGCAGTGGTACACCAGCTGTAACCTTAAAAATGTACAGTATATTCAGAAATTCATGAAATGTACTTTAATGCATATAAAGAGATGTGTGAATGTGCACACAGCAGCACACACACTTACATTTGGTCCACCTCCATGCATCTTCAGAGCCCGAACAGTGGCTACCAGCACCACAACATCAGGTCTGAGCCCAGACGTCCGACACTTAATGTTGAAGAACTTCTCCATGCCAATGTCAGCACCAAAGCCAGCCTCAGTCACTGAGCAGGGAAGGAGAAGGAAATTAAACAATAAATTGTTGAGAGCTTTTGCAAATAAGAACTTGATATAAAAACTGCTCTACTGTGCAAGATACTTATGTAAACAAACATTCTGCATCATTACTTTATTATTATTGCACAGAGCCGGATAAGAGCACATGCTTTCTCACAAGTACGAATAAAAGCAACCTACAGTTACACAATAATCAAATTGTCCCCACATTACAGGTTGAGTTATTAACATTCATTCAATTAGGATATAATCACAACCATTTTAAGAGTGAGCATGTAAGTGCTCCATATGTGTTACTGCTGTCATGAATGAGTGAAACATTTCACTGTTCAAGTGCTGACAGTGGTATACAAAACATGACCATCACAAACTGTTTTGTTAAGATGTTTTCCTTTCCCCTGCAAGTTTGATTTGTTTTGTGAATGAGAGATATCCACTGTTTGTGTTTGAACTAGTCAGTATTAATGTGTATATGTGCCACTGAACAGTAAGCATGTGGAGTATTTCCACGTATCCATTTTTCCCAGAACCCTGCGAGCTTCCTGTGCTACTTCCCAGGGTTTTGGAGCAGGAGGGAATGGGAAGGGTAATGTTGTTATTTCCACCAGAGAGGTCTGGCATATTTTCTGAGGCTCTACATGTTTTTGTGAGTGAGTGTGTGTGTGTGTGTGTGTGTGTGTGTGTGTGAGATCTGGCATGTGATTTTGAACGGAGGTAATCTCCTGAAGGTAAGCCTTTTGTTCCGTCTCACATGCATCAGGTCTTGGTCACTAACAGTTAACTTTATGTACCTCAATTACCATAAGATGGAAAGATCCGTGTTTAAACAGAATTTAAGAAATCTCATGCTTTCGTATTGATAGCATGTCAAGGGTGTCAACAGTGCTGCTCTGGAAGACAAAGGAGACTGATTAAGTTTAGGAAGGAAGCGAGAAAGGAAAGAAGGTATTTTTATGACAGAAGGAAGGAATAATTAGTAAAGAAAGAAGGAAGGAATGTTTTGGAAGGAAGGAAGACATGTATGTACAGGAAGAAGGAAGGTATGTTTAGGAAGGAAAGAAGGAAGACATGCAGGAAGGAAGGAATGTTTAGGAAGGAAGAAAGGAAGGCAGGATTGAATAGAGAGGAAAGAGGAAAGGAAGGCAGGACTGCAAAGGAAGGAAAGAAGGAAGGAAGGAAAGGAAAGGAGGAAGGCAAGTAATAAGGAAGGAGTGCCTAGAAAGGAAAAAAGATAGGAGGGAAGAAAGAAATTAATATTTAAGAAGGAAAGGAAGCAAGGAAGGTAGGTTTAGAAAGGAAGGAAGGACGAAAGGAAGGAAGGAGGTGCAAAGCACTTAAAACACAAAATTCATCCTATAAATCTGAATGGACTGTTTCCTACTGTATAATACTGACAACTGCTTAGTAACTAAGAAATCATTTTGTGTATAGTGTCACAGAAGAAACACATATTAAAGCATAACACAAGCCTGCTGTTACAGTTATCTATAGTAATTTCACTTATGCATGTGTGAGAAACAGGCCAAAAACCACGGGATCAGAGTGTTATCCTGGAGGCAGTACTCATGACCTTGGGACGACCAGGTGCTATAATAAACTGAACCACCCATATATGAGACTCCCTCTAAACGGGTGTACATCACCAGGCCTCGTGTCACCCACACACCAGACAGGTACAGATTTACAAAGGGAATGTGAGGTGGGGTGTATGTTATTGCCCTTCAGGAACTTTCAGAGAACTATCAGACCATCTGTCAGTCTGAGGCTTGTGTGCAGTGATTTTTGTTTGAGTAGACGAAAGGTTACCATGCTGCTCTGGTTTTCCTGAGTACTGTGGTGGTTCTCCTGTGAAGCGGATCTGTTGTGTATAATCAGCTGATAGGCAGCATCCGCCCTCTCACCCACAGCAAAAACACTACATGCCACATAGACTTGTGCCGGTATTCGGTAATGCGGTATATCACGGTAATGAGTATGCACGATATTGTTATCGAGGGCCCTTCTAAATACCGTGAATAATTATATATTACAAATTATTCAGAATTTTGAATGCATTTTAAGAATACTTTTCCCATCAACTGGTCAAAATGCACAACACCGCTGTATGCTGACTGAAAGACTGGTGCGCACTCTGACGTAAACAAGCGCACATGGCGGAACATGTGAGAGACGCTCTGGATGAAAGCGCACTTTAACTCTCAGACAGCAGTGACAGCTAAACTGCAGAAATAATAATAATAATAATAATAATAATAATCGCAACATGAAAATTTGATACCGGCATATCCCTAATGCCACATACCTTGGCATCAGGTAACGCATACACATGTCCCCCTCCTTCACTGATATTTTGCAAAAGTCAACAACTCCAAGCATTCCTGCTGTTTGTTGAGGCTGATGCTCCAAGTCTAATATGGACTTCTTTGAATTCAAGAACAAGACCGAGCTGCTTGTCTTTCCCAATGTGGTAAAACAAACAATTCATTTTTTACTGTGCTCCACAGGGGCCTCTAAGTAAAGTTTCTAGGGCTGTACAATTCGAGGGGTTAAAAAACCTAATTGTCATTTAAAAAAGAAATTACAATTGCAATAAGATATATAATATAATAATTATGATTATTAGTAAAACATTAAAATTAGGAACACTACTGTTTTAATGTGAAATATTAAAACAGTAGTGTTTATCGGCACCGAGTTTTATACACATCTCAGCTCAAGACACTGAGCTACTTGTGTATAAAAACTCAGCGCTTCACTCAAAAATATGCATCACACATTTAATTAAATTGCAGCCTTTGCAATTTGATAATCTCACTAAGCCATATTGTGATTTCGGTTTTATTTAGATTAATCATGCAGCTCTTTCAGAAGAATTTACTATTTACACACTGGCAGAAACTCGTAACAAAAGTAACTGAAATTCTAGAAGCGGTAACTCGGCCACTAGGTAGGCAGTGTTTTCATTGGGCTTACACATTTCAGCTTGTCCTTAAATGAGGGGGTGAAGCTTACACTGTTCTTAGAGTGGACCACAGGGTCTCCGCCATTCCCAGCATTCTTTTAGTGTCTGGGGCATGTTGCTGAGCAGGGGAGGGATAGAGAATAAAAAGGATAGAGAGGAGCAAAGGAATGAGTGAGAAATGGAGAGAGGAAGTGATAAAGTGAAGGAGAGATAACAAGTGTGTGTGTGTGTTTTGCAAGGCACGTATGTTCAGGTGTGCTGACACTCAGAGGATTAGATGGGTTCAGCATTAAAAACAAATAAACAAAAAAAAAACATCTGGGTTAAGATAAAAAATTTGGTGTTGAGACAAATTATATATCCTTGTAGAATATTCTTCCCCTTGGATTCCAAAGTCGTCATCATAACTATGTAAAGATGGTCAATTAATGCATTTTAAGTGGTCACATGTTACATAACCAAAGCTATAAATGGTTAAAGGGGTCATATGATGTGATTTAAATTTTTCCTTTCTCTTTGGAGTGTTACAAGCTCTTGGTGCATAAAGAAGATCTGCAAAGTTGCAAAGACTAAAGTCTCAAATCCAAAGAGATATTCTTTATAAAAGTTAAGAGTCAACCACGCCTACCTAAAACGGCTTGTTCTAACACACCCCCACATGTCTACGTCACTATGTGGGAAGATTTGCATAACGCCGCCCAAATGTTCACGCAAAGAATGAAGGCGTAACTTTGATCCTCGCCATAGTATTGTTGCCACCGCCACCATGTCGTGGAGACGCTGTGTGTTTCGTTGTGAAAGCGCGCATAAACACTTTGCATTACACCAAATACACAAAATAAATGTTCTTTTTAGCAACGTCATATGACCCCTTTAAATTAAACCAGTCTTTTCCCCCTCCAGAGTTTAGCATAATAGCAATTCATACCACTAGGCAATTAGCCACTTAGTCATACCACTTAGTATAACATTAAATGATTAGCCTTTAAGTCTAGAAATACCCTAATGCAAGTTGCTACATGTGAGTCAAAACTGAACACCATTTAAACGTTTGTCATTTTTTAAAATAAATTATTGATTTTAAGGGGAAAAAAAACAAAAATTTCCTATAAAAATGTATCACGGTTTTCACAAAAATATTAAGCAGACCAACTGTTTTCAACACTGATGATAATAATAAGAAATGTTTCTTGAGCACCAAATCAGCATATCTGAATGATCTCTGTAGGATCATGTGACACTGAAGACTGGAGTAATGATGCTGAAAATTCAGCTTTCACCGCATTAAATTACACACAATACTACTGCAGTTTTGATCAAATATCAAACATAAGACTGTTCAAAACTTATTTGTTTTAACTTACCCCCAACATAGCCTTTGTCTCTGGTCAATGAATGCGTGTGACTATAAAAAGCAGATGCAGTGGTGTGCGACTGAATGCGTTTTTGTGTGTGTATATATTGTATGTGTGTGCACTCACCAACATAGCCCTCTTCTCCAACTAGTTTAAGAGCCAACTTGTCTGCCAAGACAGAGGAGTTTCCATGGGCGATGTTAGCGAAAGGTCCAGCATGCACAAACACTGGAGTGCCCTGACATGACAAAGACAAACAATTTCAGTGCAAACCATTCGGGTCACACCTGCATTTCAAAATATCACACATTAGCAGGTGTGCCTCAAGATTACCTGAAAATTACTGTAGAAATTTTTAATTAAGAGCTGGTGACAAATAATACAAGATGTAGGGTTTAAGTGGTCAATCTCCATGCCTGAGTATTTTGCGTAAAACATGTGGTTGAGATTTTATATGTCAGCACCATTGTATATTCAACAACAATAAATATTAAATGGGTCTGGAATGTCTGTTTCATCATCATAAGCCAGAAATCACTTAAAGCTCTGTGAAAATATGAGGTTTGAACTGATGACCCTGAGGTCCTCTGTAACTTCCCAAACACTGAAAAGTGACACGAGCAGCTTAAGGAACAGGAAGGAGAGAGTGCAGGAAAATGGAAAAGGGAGTATAAACAAAACAAAGAACAGCATGATGGTGAAGTCATTTAAATTCAGGAAAAGGATGCAAAACTTGATAAAAAAAAATGAGCTCTCCATCAAATGGAAAGAGACCACCTTCCTTTATTTATCTAAACTTTTATCACTGCATCCCAGCATCCTACTTTCACTGCCTCTGCAGGTGCTGATATATACTAAACATTACAAAATATTCTACATTAACACATCACCTTTAAGACTCAAAAGGCCAAGTGAAAATGAGTCAAGTGAGGTAAGTGAACCAAACTCATTTTGAGACATGACCTTATTAGCTACACAAGCCTGCCAGAGGTTTATTGAGTGCTTCATTTAATCAAACAGTAGTTTGTGTTTTGGCATTTAGTTTGTAAGAGTCTACATTTTCTACTATCACTATGTTTTTATTTTATGCTGTTGGACAAAAGAGTAGTAAGTTATGCATTTAGTTGAGGTTTTGAACTACAGGCCTTTAAGAACCCTCATATAAACGTGATGAAATGTGATAAACATTAACTGTACACTGATTTTAACAATGTGCAGCTCATTATAACCTAAATATGTTTCACAGGTTTAAAAACAACTCAGACCAAATCAATCAGTACTGAAGGTCAATAAATCAATTTACAGCATCAAATTTGCTCACAAAGTGGACATATCTGGCAGCCTGTCAACAAGTCAATATGAAAGCACGAGTGATGGTCTTTATGTGTGACTGTGAATGGAAAGAGAGTGCATGGTTTTCCAATGAACTGTCCTCTGGAAAAGTTTTACAGAAATAAAAAACTATAATAGCAAAAAATGGAATAGGAAAGATTGGAGCCCTTTGTCCTGTGAGTGTGGAAAAGAGAAGAGATTTGACATGCCAATGCAAGGAAAGTTAGAAAACAGGAAAAACCAAGTGAGCACAGTAGACAGGAACAGGGTGGTTATGCTTATATAATAGGCAAAATGATCATCTTATTTTGATGTTTGTACTGACTATCTAGTTATTGACTCTATATGACCTCCATTTTTTTTAAACTAGTACATAAGCTACAAATTGATTTGATGTTAATAGTAATAATAACTTTATTAATAGTTCTGTAAATGTATCACAAAGCCAATGCACACATGTAATAATATTTTGGGTCAATACACTTCCGTTCAAAGGCTTTTTATGCTAAACAAGGATACATTTATTTGATCAAAAATACAGTCAAACAGTAATACTGTGAAATATAAAACACCCGTTTTCCGTCTTAACATGTTTTAAAATGTAATTTATTCCTGTGATGGCAAAGTGGACTATGACACATTTGAAGGATTCTTTGATTAATTCAGAAGAACAGCTTTTATTTGAAAAACAAACTTTATGTAATAATGTAAAAGTCTTTACTGTCACTTTTGATCAATGTAATGAATCATCCCTGAATAAAGAAAAATAAAAAAAAAATAATAATTTAATGACCCCAAGCTTTTGAACATTAGAGTAAGTGGTCAACATATTTACAGTTGACTTTTATTTATTTATTTGTTGCATGACACAAACAAGTGGTTTACTTGGCCAAGCAGATCTAAATAAGAGCATTCTTTTTATATATAAAAATTGTGAATATTAAAGACTAACCCTACCCATGAAAGAATACTCCTCACATTTTTATAGAAGTGAAAAAATATTTGGGAAGTCCTTGAATGTTTAAAGGAAGGTCGTCACATTTAGACAACTTCTGGAGACAATTTTGTCCCTGAAGAGCATCTAAAATCATACACACACTGGAGACATATTTTCTCCTAACACTCTTGACAAATCGCACATCTTTAGTCTATATCAAACAGCCTTGGATCCATCTGTGAACACATGCACGTGACGTCCTCTTGTTGAGACATTCACACACTTCCTCTCTCACTCCTTCACACACATACTCGCATACATCCCAATCCCAGTAGGGACATTATAGCACCATGCAAACAGAATATTCCCACAACCCTTTGCTGCCTGGTTCGTTCTGATACAATTCCTCCTCACAAGAGAAACAGGAAACCAGGCAGGAAAGGTTTCACAAAGCAATTCTGTGGCTCTCTCAACAAACATGCAACTTCTATGCATCTCACACGCATCAAACATCAATCACTAGTCATTAGCATGTTTTAAAGTCATAAAGATGAAAGGCATTCCAACAATCAGGCTTTTCACCACTGTCAATTTCTCATTTCCAGTTTTCTCGTGGTGTTCAGGGTGTGACAGTGAAAGACAGAGACACACTCCCACTGAGCCAAAACCAAAACCAGATGTGCATGTGTTACTGTATGAGTGTGTGTTTTCGGTGTCATGCCTCGAATATCCTATCACTTCACCAACGCTGAGAGTATCAAGTTTGGGAGTTTCCATCAAGATATGTGTGCATGTGTGGGAGACAGAATAAGAAAAATAGCACACAAGCGAACGACTGTGTAAAAGATACTGAGTGTTTGGGGTACAGGAACAGGGAAGAGGTCTCACCTCCAGTGTCTGCATCAGTGTGGGTTTGATAGCATCTTTCATGAGTACTGCCAAAGCCCCGGTTACACCCTGAGAAAACCAAAGAGCAAAGAAATGTCAAAATATATTGTTCATAGCAGTTGTTGAATGTTTCTCTGGTAGGGCTGTGACAATCATGAAATTTTGGCTGGTGACTTGTGATTAATGACTAAATATCCTGTTTTATTCATATTGCTTACAGTGTAAATTTAATACAAATACACATTTATTTTTAACTTAGAATTATATATTGCATAGGGTTAGAATTACGTGAATGAAAACACTATATGTTCACAATATTTAAAATATTTCACACAGTCAATTCACAATATTATAATTATATTTTAATTATACTTAAACATTTCATTTTGTAATCATTGTTTATATACACATAGTAAGATTTTTTAAATGTTTTTTAAATAAGTCTCTTACGCTCACACTTTGATCAAAAATACAGTAAAAACAGTAATATTAAATATTACCATTTAAAATAATTGTTTTCTATTATAACATTTCAAAATGCAATTTATTCCTTTGGCAAAGCTGATTTTTTTTTTTGCAGTGATTGTTCCAAATTTGAGCTGAAAATAGTGTTTCTTAATTTTTTTTGGAAACAATGATGCATTTTTTTTAGGATTCTTTGATGAATAGAAATTTCAAAAGAACAGCATTAATTTCTGTGACTTTTGATCAATTTATAGGTAGTTAACTGCGCGCTCTCTCTCTCACACACACACACCAAGTCATCTGCAGTGATCGACTGGCCGTTTCTGCTGCTGCCCACAACCATAAGTCCCAGCCTGGCCCGCATATCAGCCAGTCCATCTGTCAGAGCAAGGATAGCCATGATCTCACTGGCCACCGCAATATCAAACTGGGTCTGTAAGAACGAGAGGGGAAGATCACATATTGACCAGCACACAAACACATCACAGTGATGATTTAGGTGATTTCTATCAAAATAAGTCGTCATGATATAGAGAGTGGAGAAATCTGTCAGAGACCCACGCACGCAACATCTGCCAAGTCTGGTTCTTTATCACATACAGTAAACTGCTCCCACATGTGTCCAAGACAACCCCAGCTGGAGTAAAACCAAGCTGTCCTGGTTTAACTCTCAGCTAATAAATACTCCCCCAATAAAACAGCTGGGAGTGGTGTCCAGATGCCCTATCAGGAGAGATGGGCCACTTAATACACACCACTTGTGTCATTATTACTTGCCATTTAACTGCATTTACAGCACCCTAAATGTTGAGATGATCTACCCTTAGTCAATGATTGCAAAGCCTGAAGTAACATGCTTAAGTGTTTTTTTTATTTATTTCAAACACACACTCTCACTGTCTTTTTAAAATGCACATACTGTATATTATACTGTATGTTGCTCAAGAACAAAGTACTAGGCTGTAGTGGACATTTCAGTGGTTTTGGTACAGTGGGAGGGAGACAAACATAAGCACATGATTGACCAGCTCAAAGGGTTTGCTACAGTATGTGCGCAGTAATGCCTTTTTTGAAACATTTGCTTTTACTTAGACTGTTTCCCATTAAGGTGCACACTGTTATCTGCCTGATTTGTTTTAAAAGTCATCATTTCTGACAGCCGTTGATATACTGCAAGACTTAACAGATTCCAGCTAAGGGAAATAGACAGAAAAGTGAGAGAGGGAATAGAGAAAGAGAGATATATAATCATTGTAGAAGTTTTGTCACTTTTCCTCACTCACATTTGACTGTAGGTTAATTGAATCAGAAATATGAAGCACATACCTGGCGAGCATGGCCTTTTTCTGTGTTGGCCTGACCAACAGTGATCTTACGCAGAAATCGGTCATTGGTATCAACAACTATTTGAAACAGGAAAACATATGTTAAGAGTGAAACCAGAATGAAGCTTTTACCTTATGACAGTTCACCCAAAAATAAATTGTGTGCTCATTCTCATGTCATTCCAAACCTGTATGACTTTCTATCTTCCATTAAAACACATAAGGAAAAATTAAGGATGTACTTGTCTCTCATTTCCATACATTTACAATAAATGAGAAAAGCTTTCAAGCTATAAAAGGAAATACAGTAAAAGACCCATAAAAGTAGTCAACATGATTGGTGCACTATATTCCAAGTTGCTTGAACCACTATGATTTGTGTCACTATTCACTGATCACCTTCAATGTACGGAGGACTGAGAGTGACACATAAAAATAAGAAGGACTGACAATTTATCTATTCACAAGTAATCATAATCAAGTAATCATAACTTATCTTATTCATTAATAAGTATTGCTTTTTATTTCTCCTCTTTCCTACTACTTGTTTCACTTCTGTTTCAGTTTTTATAACCATTTCTTACTATGTGTAAGTAAGTTGTTGTTTTTTAGTATGCAAGTTTGGCAGTGTTATTTTTTAGGATTACTGATAAACTACTGTCGTTTGATTTGTATTAGTTATTTATTTTAAATTTTAGTTAAACTATGTCTGAATTTATTATGCCTGTATAGGTCTTTATTACGTTTTAGTTTGATTTAATTTGAGTTATTTTAATACTTCAACAAACTAAATGGAAATGAAATAATATATATATTGAATTTATAAATGTGTATGTATATATATAAAGTATATATGTATGTATGTGTGTGTGGTTGTACATACACATACATGTAGTTGTTTTTTTGGTGTTTGGCTTAGTGTTATGTTAGAATCTTTATTATACTCTTATACCTTTTGTTCTTTAATATTTTGAATTGTTTTTAGCTTTATTTTTGTTTCTCATTTAAATGTTACGTTTTTAAATTTTGTTGTATGCATTTGTCATTTTTATTTAATTTCTTTCTTTTTCAATTGATTGCTTCTGTTGTCCTCATTTGTTAAGTCGCTTTGGATAAAAGCATCTACTAAATGACTAAATAAATAAATAAAATAAATAAATAAATTCAAACATAAAAGGGAAATAACTTTAAATTGAAAAATTAAGAGACATTCAACACTTGAGTTTTCTCTATTTCTTTTGTTTTGAAATATACTTAAATAAGAGTAAAATAGTAAATTAATAAATCATTTTTAGAAGCACATTTTAAGTTGCATTTTAAAGAAAAAAAAATTGCCAGTTGTTTTTCTTTGGCCATTTGCCAATTCCTTTTTTGTACATTTGTCAGCTGCTTTTCTTTTTTCTTTTTGTCAATCAAATTCTAAAAAAAGTTATTGGACAGTTCACTTATTGGGGAACTTCTGTCTTTATTTTAAGTGTTACTCTCAGTCCTCAATGCAAATTAACTTTTAACTATTGCATCCAGATCATTGAGTTGGTAAGCTGATTAGCAATCAGATTAGTATGATTCGTGAACAAATCATCCAGACCTGTTTTATGAATAAGATCAACAGAGCAACCGAACAGTTTTGACACAATAATGACAATTCTCATATCTGGGTGAATTTTTTATCTTTAACCTCACTAATAATGATAGAAACGTAAAGCATTTCAAACCTATTGCAATTGATAGATTTCAAGATTTAGGATTTTTTTTTTTTTTATAAAAGCAATATTTTTTCATGAAGTTGCAATTAGATCACATTGGTTGGCTTGTTCTATCTGCTCAAGCGTAGCAGCGCTGTGTTTGAAGACAACTACTGGAGAGAATCACGTCAGGAGGGAACTCAGCTGGACAGATTTTGCAGTCACTGCTGAGGAGATGTATGAGGCAATCTAATGAATCCCAAAAACCAATGACCTAAAGAGACCCAGAGGGATGGACACCAAGCGAAACCATAACCTTGCAATAAGCATGCATTCCTCTAAGGCTTTTTGTATTTTTTTTTCTTGCAGCCAAGCTGAATGTAGGAGGGTGCAGTATGAGACACAAACACAACTACCTAAGGGCCAAGAAGTTGCAGGGGAAAGAATTCAAACCCTCTGGTATTTTCTCATGGAAAAGCAGAACAATTATTATAAGTCTCATTTTAAACATGTCACAGGCAACAAAAATTACAACAATGGTTTAATCTGCTTTCTGGCTGTCTCTCGTATTCCTCTTGTGTATCTGTTTCAATTCATCCATCTGTGACAACACAGCGTACATGAACTACAGCATAACATACGGCACAGCCAAAAATGTTTCATCTGAAGAGTGATTAATAAACTAAGAAAAGACCATGATAATGTAGTCCGAGGATCATTATTCACAATGATATCTTCCCATAATGGACCATGGGAAACCCTAATGATTAAAACATTCGATTTATGAATGTCAACTTTGAGAAAGTTGTACGGAATTGTCAAAGCTTCTCAGACACACACAGATTCGGATTCGTAGCGGGAGAGAGATGTAAAGCTGTTCTTAATCTTCCAGGCTCCTCATCTTAGTGTGCACTTTTGAACCGACAGAGTAAATATCCCATCAGTCATTGCAGCACTCTTCTGAATGTAGAGCTAAAGGCAACAGATGTTCCCAGGTGGCCACGAGTAAAACGGGAAACACCCCAATCCAGCTAAATTTCATCCCGCAGTGATCGCAGCTATCAGACGGCACTGCGCCATAACCAAAAGCAGAAGGTCTACATTTGGCATCCCTTCCAGGTGCAAAGAGTAGACTTGTTATTGCATCTGTTCAAGAGGGACTAGTTCTCAAAAACTGTTCTCAGATGTAATGACATGGCTAATTTTTGGTGCTGTCCCACTAGCCATTTTAAAACGGAAGTCAAATGTGGCAATAGCATTCCAACGGCCACATATTGTGTCATACTGCATGCTTCAGCTCACCATCTTATGCATCATATATCCTGTACCACAATCTCTTTCTGTGACTTATCAAGCTTTGAGCAATTCTATATGCAGAACAGTAAAGCAATCTACATTGCACAAGCTCCTACCTCTCTGCCATGTGACCTTCTCAGGGTCAAGGTCAAGACGGACAAATGCCCTGACCTCTTCTGGTGTGAGGCCACTGGGGTCAGATTTGTTTATTCCAAGATGCTGAAAACATAGGTGAAGAGACAGACACAAGTGCAGCGATTATTATGATGAAAAAGTGGTTCATTCATATTAAACAAAGTTACTATTAAAACATTTTCATTTCTGCAGTTAGTTTTGGCCTTGACTAGGTACTGTAGTCATAAATGTCTTTCAGACTATCTTTTTAATAAGTTCTTAGTTAAACTTGTGGACGACGAGACTTGCTGTGAATTCCAGCCTTGTAAGAATGGCTAGTTTACACAGTAGCTGCATGAGGACCCCTGTTGGTTATCTGATGAACTGCTTCCAAATTTCTACAAGTTCTAGTGTTCTCAACATTTTTAACCTCCCCATTGTCCACAGTGTGGATTCCAGGGCCCGTATTCACAAAACATCTTAAAGATAAAAGTAGCTCATAACTAGCCGATTTAGGAGAAAATCTTAAAAACAATGGGCGTGTCAGTCCTAAATTTAGGACTCCTACATTTTTGTTCTAAAAGTATTTCACAAAGCGTTTTAGCGCTAAATTTAGCTCCTAAATCTGTGAAACGTAAGGAGTAGTGAAGAGGACTTCTAAGTCACTAAGACCAAATCTGAACTATCCTAAAATGGCTGTTGCCAGCAATCTACCTCGGTAAATAAACATTTTAGAAACATTTGACGATAATGAGCTTTTAAAAAGGTATCGGCTTTGGTTTGGAGGTTATCCCAACTCCAAATGTTTGATTATATCCTTAATATATAGTTGTTCTCGCGTCCAGTTTGGTTTTCTTTTATGTTTGCATGTCTTACTATCAGCCATGATTATTCCACTCTGCTAATTAAAAGGCTGTTTATATGCATATTACCAAAATTGTATTAGTTGCTTAGTCGCAGAAAAAAAAAATCCACACGAAGTAGCGAAATCACGCAGTCCGTGACGAACAAATCGTTAACGGCTGGTCTATGTGATTGGCCAGGACATCCATATGCTCACCTAACATTCATCGACCTCAAATATGGCTTATCATCTGAAATATGTATGTAGTAGCAACTTTACATGGCAGCTCAATCTAATGTTAGCGTAGAAAAAGTGTGCAGTGTTTGTGCGGAGTGTGGAAGCTGAACAGTAGCGCGCTTGGGCTACTGCGTGACAGATGGAGGCGCCGGTGCGATCATTTGCTCTTAAAATACTTCGTCATTTTTGGTCATACAGATAAGAGTAATGCATCGTTTGTATCTGTAAAGACTCTACATTTATTCCTGTGCACTCAGAATAACAACGAAACGTTGCGCTATTGTAAAATAATGAAAGCAAACAGGATGCGCTTTCTGCCGTCTCGGACTCTGTGAACTTGAGCGCGTCACTTCGAAACTCCGTGTATGCTTGCCTTATTACAGACATGAAAAATATATCTATAGAGAGTGAAACTTTTAAATGAA